TATATATNNATAATATATATATATATATATATATATATATATATATATATATATAATAATCAATATATAATCAAATATAAATTTCAATTAATGAAAATAAAATTGATAAATCTGGCAACAATGTTAAAAGATCATTATAAGAGTAGAAATCTTTCCTCTTGAAAGAAAGAATAACGAAGATTAACAGATTTTAAAATCAAAATAATCCATTAAAAATTCAATATTTTGTGAAGAAAAATAAAAAATCCTAATTTCGACCAATAAAAAGAAATGCGATATTTTACAAAATAATTATTATAATATATATAGCAATGAAATAATTAAAATATAGTATTAAATTTTTTTTACAATAAATTATCATTTATTGATAAATAATAATTTTATATGTGTGCGTGCGTGCGTGCGTGCGCGCGCGCGCGCGCGTGTGTGTGTGTGTGTGATGCATGCATATATTTATAGTAAAAAATATATATATGTCAAAATAAGGAATAATTAAAATAAAAACTTACCTTTGATGTGGAACATTCTCCAGTGTTATATAGTTCCAAAACATTATTACTATATAATTGTATATAATAAGGAATATGTAAGGATGATATATAAAAATAAGCACAAAAGAACAATAAAAATTTTGTAAATTTGATATTTGACAAATATATATATAAAGGATACATAATATCTTCTTTAGGTTGTATATCGAGAGTATGTATATTTGACATAGCTTGTGTTACGATACATTCACTATTTTTTTTAAGTTCTTCATCCTCAAATTGTATAAGATTGTTTATTGTTGGATTAATATCTAATGAATGCGTAATAGTATATGCTACCCACGATTCTAAAAATTTTTCTTCATCTATATTATAAACATGACAAAATTGTATACCTAGATAAGAAAAAAATTAATTGAAAATCTCTTAAATAAAAACAGTATATTAACATATTTTACATATATTATTATTTTATACATATTACATATATATTATATTTTGTAATATATATTACAAAAATTAATGCAAAATTAAAAATGTTAAAACAAAAGTCTAAACATATAAATACATTTAAAATATAAATAATAGTTCATAATATATAAAACAAGCTTTTTAAGATGAGGTTAAAAAAGATATATTATAATTTTTTAAATATATTAATATAAAGAATATAAGAATTATTAAATATATAAAATGTATTTAATTTAAAATTGAGTTGTTTCTGATTAAATAGTAATATTTTAATCAAGAATTAATCAAGGAATTCATATAGGTTAGGAATGAAATCTATTAATTTTAAACTTTTTTAATTTAAAACTTATAAATAGCTTACATTTATCGATGATGGATTTATCGGAAATATCACAACCTAAATTAAAGAAACACAAACTTAATGATTCTTCTGACATTTTAATATACTGTGTTTTTCAGTTTTTTCCCGCCAATAGATATAATAAAACAATATATGTACATGCGCAGAATTTTCATTCATATTCAGTGCTATAATGCTTTATATACATATATATATTATAGAGAAACGTCATATATATTCAATGACGTAAATAATTACAACGAATATAAATGTATATCGATATTATTTTTATTATATATTATATATTATTATATATTATTTATAAACAATATATAACATATAATAAAAGAAATATTTTTATATTTTTGAGAATATATTTTATTTTAAGATATTTGTTTAATAAATATATATATACATATATGTTTTGTAAATAATAAATTTATTTTATACAAAATTCTTATTCAATAAAATATTTATAAAAACAATAAATGTCACTGTTTTTTATGATTATGATTCTTATCCACATATACATATACAAATGTTACAGCATATATCAAAAAAACAAAAAATATTTTTGTAATATTTTTGTATTAAATAATTAATTATCTTCAAATATAAAATGTTGTTTATCTTTTTCCATAATTTCAATAAGTGTTTGCGAAATATCTGCAGAAGGAAATCTTTCTATCCAAGATTGAATCAATCCAGCAAAATTGGGTTCATAGTTTTTCAATTGTACTTCATTTTCATCTATAAATTAGTATAATAATAGTATAATTGTAAAATTTTATAATATATAAAATTATTTAAATACAAACCATTAATGAATGTATTAGATTGTACAAATATCTTTCGGGGTTCCTTGTGAGCTAAAACTATATCTCTCCAACGTGCCCATGGATGTGGTTCTATTTCAGGTACTTCACTATATTTTTCATACATTTTTTTGGCTGCTACAATATCACCTGTACTTTTATAAATTTGTAATTTAGTTAGAAAATCTCCAATTGCTTTTTTACCAACTGTTAAAATTTTTGTTCTATTAACAGTTAATAATAAATTCTTTCCAGGTTCAGATTCTACAACATTAACAAAATCATTGCCAGCTTCTAAACAAACTCTAAGTAAAACATATCTTGCTTGAGAATGAGCTTGTAGCCATTTCCCAGTTGATGGTTGATACATTTCTAAAGCTTTTGCACAACCAGTCCATAATAGACATAACCAATTTACATACATTATATCATCTGCCTCAGAACCTTCATATCCAAATATACTTAATATATCTTTTTCTAAAGATAAATATAATCCAACTGCTTCTGCTCTGCATTCCTCATAAGATGATCCCAATGACCCAAATTTTGAATCATATGTTTCACCAGGTAAAAAATATTTATTTATTAATTCTCCAGTAAAAGGATTTTTTACTTTTCCAATATTAAAATTATATGAACCAGATTCTAATTGTTTCAATAGTTTACCTGTTCCATGACCAAGAAGTTCATGTAAAGCAACTTGCACTTCAAAGCTAGCTACTCTATAAGTATTCATCAAAGTTTGATCATGTTCAGATAAAAATGGTATTACATCTAATTTCATATTTGCAGGAATTACATTACCCAAAGAAACATTTTTAAATCCTTCTGATTGTCTAATTTCATCATAATTTGGGATATTTATACCCGCAGGAATACCAGATCCCGAGAATGTCAGAACATCCAATGAAGTAAAATCAGGTCTTAGAAATTCATCTTTTTCAAAATCTTTACTCCAAGGTAATTTTGGTATAAATTTTTCTGCATTAGTTACCAATGTAGCAAATTTTTTGGACATTTCTTTATTTACCATTGCTACAAATCCTTCAAATTCTCCTCTTTGTCCTGCTGGATCTCTATAAGTTTCAATAAAACCTATATAAGTTTCTATAACTGGTCCTTTGTCTTTAATCCATAAACGAGAACCATCTTTGTGATCTTGTAAAGATCCTGTTTTAAAATGTTCTATGTATTTATTTAACATATTTTTTTCAATTTCATTTACCGCATATTCTTTTGCTTTTTGAAGATTATGAATAACTGGAATCAAAAGTTTGCTATAATCTCCTCTTGTAATTCTAAATTTTGCATTTTTAAATACTTCTTCTGACAAAGTAATATTAGAATCATTATTAGTTTCCATAGAAGCTAATCTAATTTCATATATATCAAATTTAGAATCATTTTGATCATTTGCTATTTTAAAGCATCTTGTATTATAACATTCTAATCCTTTACTTTGCATAAAATCATTAACTAACTCTGCATCTTTTTCCGTGCAATTAGCAGAAAAATAAGTTGTAATTCCTTTCTCATTCAATCCTAAAGATTTTAATTTTCCTTTAATAGAATATATTATATTTTGAATTTTATTCCAAATTTCTTCAATGTTTTTGGAATTATTTTTATATGCTTTTGAAACTTTTATTATAGTTTCAAATTTATCCTTAGGTAAATTTGGAATTATTTTACTATCACCAAAAGATTTATAATTACCAGCATTTGCAAAAATTCCACATGAATATACTAAAAATGCCTAAAAATATAAAATAATTGTACAATTAATATAATAAATTATACTTAAAAAATATAATATAATTAAAATAAATTACTATTTGATATAAAACTTACTGTAAATTCATCTTCACTAACATTAACATTAAATGCAGAATTTTTCAATTCATTTATTGTTTCAGATATGAAAATTTTATGTAGTAAAGCAAATATTAATGGTGATTCTGGAGAAGTTTGGACAAATACAATAAGACCACCATTCCATGCGGCTTGACTTAAATAATGTGCATATAATTTTTCATTTTTTGTTAAAGCATTAAATGCAGTATCACATTCTAATGCAATTATTGGTTGCTTATTTGGTAAAGTAAATAAAGAAATATCTTCACTCATTTTCGTAGACAATAATTTTACACTAAAATACAATGTTATAATTTAATAAATTTTTTGATTATATTTTAAATTCTATATAAATTTGTATATAAATATAAATAATACGATATTATTAAATTAATAAATTTAACAAAATCTTTTGTAATTATGACATTTTAGATAAAATTAAAAAGATTATTAGACGTAATAATAAAAATTTAGACTTCTTTATACATATGTTCTATATGTAATAAATATATAAATATATATATATATATATATATATATGTATATACATATATATATATATATATATA